ATTAATTGTTCTTAGGATTAAAAACAAAATCTTAGATTGTTGACAAAAATAAATAAATCATAAATCATATATGACGTACACACGTGAACTCAGACAGACACCTTGGCGTATCCCGTGGCACAAGAAAGGAAACTTTATTGATAACTTTGTATTTATGAGTTATGATTTCCTTTATTGATAACTTTGTATTTATGAGTTATGACTTGGGTAGTGTTTCAAAAAAAAAAAAGAGTTATGACTTATGCAAATTCACATCTTCCCGATTTTAGACTTTTGATATTTTATATTTTTCTAATGAAAATTAAAACCTATTCTGTAATAAAAATTTAGTAAAATTACATAAATCTCTTTAATATTATTTCAGAACTGAATTTCCTACGTGATGTGAATTTAGTAAAATTGAATAATCTCTATAATATTATTTGATAACTAAATTTCTTATGTGTTGTGAGGATTTTTTGTAAAAGTGATTTAAATCTCTAAGGCAAACACAAAATTAACATTTTTTGGACATTTTATTTGTTTTATCCATCTCAGAAGTTCTGATTATTCACGAAAATATATAGAAAAAAATTCAAAAATGAGTATTTTACTCTTTCATCCTCATCTCCATCAACTAATCATGAAAATTTTATTGCCATCAATTCACCCAACAACCATGAACAACCAAAATGAAGTTCTTAGTGCATCTAAAAAAAATTTACTCATTCATTTTTATATTTATGTCCAATAACTACATCTCTCTCATTTTCTAGCTATATTCATCCAGAAAATCCAAGTTTTTTTATTATAAAATTTTTAAGGATCATATAGCCACTCAAGCTCACAACTTTTGGTCATTAATGATTGAGTAGCTGTTCTGGTGAAGTTGTGTGTACTTGGAGAACTAAACAAGTTCTCTCAAGGGTTGAAGGTATGAATTGAATTTTTTTCTCAGATTTGTTCACTAGAAGACTTACGTGTAAGTCTTCTTAGTCGAGAAGATTTTCATGGAAGTCTTCTGATCAAAGAATATGTTAGTTTTACAATTGACTTTCTGTGTATTTTTAGAGAAGACTGTCGCGGAAGTTTTCCAATTTTCTTTGTTGGGAAAAAAAATCGAGAATACTTATCTAGAAATCTTTTCGGATAAATAAGTTAGTTTTACAATTGACCAATCTGTGTCAGAAACTTGACTTTCTACAAAAGACTTTCAGGTAAATCTTCCTCCGAAAAACTTATATGGAAATCTTCTCAACCTTTACATTAAGTCTACTTGTTATCGCTGGAAACTTGTGTAGATTATTTTTGCAATTGAAATTTTAAACTTAAAACATGTAATTTAAATTGGGAGACTTTTAGTTAAGTCTTCCGTCCGAAGACTTTTAGGTTAGTCTTCTGCCGAAAACCTTCCTGGAAATTTTCCAAATTTTTATTCCGTAATTCTGGTCAAACTTAAGGTAATCAATGTAAGTCTTCTCAACAAAAGTCAAATATAGTCAATTGCAAAAGTAATATACACAGACTTACATAGCGAATAGACTTAATGTAAAGGTTGAGAAGACTTTCAGGTAAGTCTTTTAGCGGAAGACTAACCTAGAAATTTTCCGTAGAAACTCAAATTTCTAACACAAATTGGTCAATTTCAAAACTAACATGTTTATCCGAGAAGATTTCTAGGTAAGTCTTCTTAGGTAATTTCGAGAATTTTTGCATTATAAAAGTAAGCCAATATTTACAAAGGAAGACTTCCAGAGAAGTCTCTTATAGAGGAGACTTCTCTGAGAATCTTCCTTTACAAAATTTTTAATTGCAAAAATGACATGAATGGAAGACTTACCTGGAAGTTTCCGCCATAAGACTACATGAAAGTCTTCTCCGGGAAGACTTCCAGGTAAGTCTTCTACGGCAATTTATAATAAACTTTCATTTTCTTCAAATTTAAAATGAATTTTTAAAATTTTATTGTTAATTCATGTGTTTTAGATAATATTTGGGGTCCTGAATGAATTTCATAACTTAATTGGTGATAATTATGAAGTTACCAACATTCATGTTTTTTAATGTTTCTAGCTAATCTAAGAAGATTTATTAAGAAGCCTTCTCGGAAAAGACTTACGTGGAAGTATTTCACATTAGTTTTAGTAAACTTGTATTTTTAAGAATGTTAATGAATTTAATATACGTTTTTTAACTTTCAGAATTGTTAAATAGTTTCAAGAAGATTATGATGTTTACATGAAAATAAAATTGGAAGAGTTAACCTACTCATTATAACTTAGTTTTTTATAGTTACAAAATTTATTGGTTTTACTTTTTTAAAAGACTTTGTTGGTTTTAGTTCTTATAAGTTAAAAGCGATGAACAACTATTGTACGTTAATGAGAAGAAGTTGTTTATAGTTACAAACTTATAGTCTTTTGGAGAGTATAGGAGACCCAAAGATGAGAAGAAATGAACATCATGTTTTGAATCTGAAGGCCACTGAAGTTTTTTATTTCATTGATTTGTAAAAATGGAAAACAGATTGTTAGAACATACACTACATCTTGAGAAGCATCATTAGTGATTTTATAAATATAGAACCATACTTTTATGTTAAATATACAAGTAGACAAAATTTTCAATTAAGTTAAATATTTTCGATACCGAACACTTTCATGTAAGTCTTCTAAATAGAAGACTTACATGAAAGTCTTCCAAGAAGTGTTCTAGACCCTAAATTTACTATTCGCCTAGAAGATTTAAGATTTACTTTGAAGACTTACTATTCGACCAGAAGACTTATTATTCAACCAGAAGACTTACTCTTTGCCCATAAGACTTACTATTCGCCTAGAAGACTTATTTTAGGCGGGAAACCTAGGTTTTAAAAAATAAATTAAGCGGAAACTATGTTAAGTCATCCACCAAGTCTTCTAGTGCATTATATTTCAAAATTTAAGTCTTGCAAAACCCTAAAATCAAATATAGAATTAAATCACATACAAAATTTTTATTAAACTTGAAATAAACTTATAAAGTGTTTTATATACACAAAACTAAACACATATAGGTCAAATTCAGTTTTTTGTAAAAAAAAATTAAAAATCCAGAATCTAACCTTAAAAACACATATAGTACTATAACATAATTACCAAACTCCAAACCAAAAACTATCATGACTAACTTACATTCACTCATCTAAATTGAAAAAGTTCAACTTTATTAAAATTTATATAAGTTACAAAGGTCTGTAACTAGATGATTATGATTTTTCCTCTATCAAAATATTTATTTTGAAATTTATAAAAAAATTTAAGAATAATACATTAAAAGATTTAAGAAATACTTATTGAAAGACTTAATTTTAGGCGGGAAACCTAAATTCTTTTAACATTTTAAGCGGGAAAATGCTCTTAAGTCATCAAGTAATTCTTCTAGAGAATTATATCTTCAAAAATTTAAGTCTTCCAAAACCTCAAAATCAAATATATATATATATATATATATATATATATATATATATATATATATATATATATATATATATATATATATATATATATATATAACTAAATTACATACAAAAACTTTATTAAATTTAAAATAAACTTATGAAGTATTTAATATACACAAAACTAAACACATATAGGTCAAATTTAGTTTTAAAATAAAAATGTTAACATTCCACCATCTAACCTAAAGACACATACAATACTACAACATATAATAGTTACCAAACCCTAAACCAAATAATATCTTGACTAACTTACATTCACTCATCTATCTTGAAAACTATACAGTTTTATAAAATCTAAATTTACATCATTTATAAATGTCAATAATTACATGATTAAGATTTTTTACTATTCAAAATATTTTTTATATAATT